AACTCTGAAAGAAATTCCTGCCAACGAGCCTACTTGCTTGATTGCTTTGGTTGGGACATGAAGTGAATAACTGCAGTATTATCTGTCTTTACAATAAATGGAGACCCAAGCAAATAGTGACACCATCCTCTGAGACAATGGACTATTGCCAACAATTTCTTTTCATGCACCGAGTAACGACGTTCTGTTTGGTTTAACTTTCGGTTCTCATATGTTACCGGATGTCCTTCTTGCATAAGGACTCCACCAAGTGCAAAATCTAAGGCATCGATATGAACTTCAAATGGTTTAGTCATATCCGGTAAGGCTAAAACTAGGTTCATCCACATGGACTTCTTCAACTTTTCAAAAGCAGTTTGGCATTGGGACGACAAATCCCAATCATTATCCTTCTTTGTCAATTCGGTAAGTGGCATTGCAATTTTTGAATAGTCTTTCACAAATCTTCGATGGTAATTGCATAAACCCAAAAAATGAACGTACATCATGTACGGTTTTTGCTGGTTGCCAATCTTTGATGGCTGTAACTTTCTTCGAATTCATACGGATTTTACCTTATTCAATTATGTAACCCAAGAAACTAATAGATGTTTGAGCAAATGAGCATTTAGATGGTTTGGCATAGAGTTCATTCTCCTGTAGCCGATTAAAAACTTGCCTCACATGTTGGACATGTTCCTCCAATGTCTCGCTGTAGATTACTATGTCGTCCAAGTACACCATGACAAAATCATCTAAGAATCAGTGAAGTACCTGATTCATCATAGTACAAAACGTTGCTGAAGCGTTTGTCAAACCAAAAGGCATCACTTTAAATTCAAAGGCTTCATATCTGGTTACCACCGTAATCTTTGCTTCATCTCTCTCCTTGATCCGAACTTGCCAGTATCCGGACCTAAGATCAATTTTTGTGTAATACTTCGCCCGACTCAGTCGACCAAAGCAATCCGAAACCAGTGGGATAGGATAGCTATTCTTTACCACTATCTTGTTCAAGGCTCGATAGTCACACCACATTCTAAGAGAACCATCGGCCTTTTTATGAAACAACACAGGAGCTCTGTATGGTGACTTCGCATGCACAATGATTCCACTCTCCAACATTCTCCCAATTGCTTCCTAAGCTCTTCAAGCTCAGGCTAAGACATACGGTATGATGCCTTGGCGGGAGTTTTGGCACCTGGAATAAGTTCAATTTCATGATCAATCATCCTTCTTGGTCATAATTTCTTTGATAATTCGTCCAACATGATGTCTTCAAATTCTCGAATAAGCCTTTTAACGGGTTTTGGAATAGGACCAGTCGCCTCTTCGATCTCCTCTAATCGAAGAGTGCACAAAAAGAAGGTTTATTTCTCTTGAAACCCTTACTAAATTGCATGACTGAAATACTCTTCTCGCCCATCCTCCCAAATTGTATAGGGATAGCACACGACTTATTACAAATCATCATTAACTAATCAAAATACAGCAACACACTGTCTTAGTATTCCAAAGAAATTACAATCCTAGAATAATTTTGAAATCATCCATCTGAACTGTAGATAAATTTGTCCTTCCCTCGAAGGGACCTGCTTTGATCAACACTGATTTCGCTATTCCAGCTATTGGTTGAGCAGCGGAGTTAATTGCTTTGACTTTTCCACTACCCTTTTCCAGAACAAGTCCGAGTCGTTCTACTTCGGTACATGCAAGGTAGTTATGGGTAGCACTAGTATCCACCATAGCAGTATCCACCATAGCCCTAATTGGCTTCTCGTTGATCTTCACATCAATGTACATTAAGCCTTTGGCCCTACAAATTCGAGCTTTCGCTTCTTCCATCCTTGCCTCTTTCAAGGGGACATCATCCTTTTCAGCAGCCCGATGCGACAGTGTGTTGCATCGATGTAAAAATGTCTCAACTACGTCCTCATCCTCTTCGTAGTCAATCTCACCATGACAATTAGCCTATGGGCCCTCTTGCTTTGAACTTGACCCGCGACTTACTAGCTGACAATATGCATTCACTATCCATTTCTGAGGACACCCCGACACCCGATGAGGTCCTTCGCATAAAAAGCACATCAATTTGGGAGTGGCATCAGTTCGGCCCTCCGTTGCTTTTCCTTTGTTCCAGTTATTACTGTTGCTGTCGTTATAATTTCCTTGATAGCTATTATGATAATTTCCCTGAAAGCCACGGGTGCTTTGATAGGCTCCTCCCTTATTCTGAGAGTAACGCTCTCCCCTATTTGGGTTCGAGTTGGGACTGTAAGGTCTGTTACCACCTCCAATTGCTTGATTACTCCTCGAAGGTCGATCTTTTCTGGATTCCGTTTGGTAGTCGCTCAAACATTCGATGGCTTCCATGGTCGTGCTCAAATCAATAACCTTCTATCTCTAAAGTTTCGTGCGTGTCCACGGTTTCAACCCTTCCATAAAGGTGAAGAGTTTATCCTTTTTCGACATATCTCAAATATTCAGCATATGCCCTGAAAAAGCTTTTACATACTCTCTGATAGAGCCTGTATGTTTCAGGTCTCGAAGTGCACGTCGAGCCTGATACTCGACATTTTTCGAGAAAAACTACAATCTAATCGCTTTCTTGAGGAGATCCCAAGATTCTATTCGGATGCTGTTGGCTTGAATGTTAGCATATTTGGTTCGCCACCATAGTTTTGTATCTCCACCTAGATACATGGTAGCTGTGCTTACCTTTCTAACTTCGTCTTCGATCGAAGCTGCGAGAAAGTACTGTTCCATGTCAAATAAGAAGTTTTCGACTTCTTTTGCATCATGTGCCCCTCCGTAGGTACACGGTTCAGGAATTCTGAGTTTAGGAGCATACTCAGGTACGAGAGCTTGCCCATTGCCTATCGTACATTGGAGTACTCGTAATTGAGCTCTCTACGCTTCCATTTCATCCTGTAGATCAGGAATGATTGCAGCAACTTCAGTCATTGTTAGGCAAGACCTTTGGCTTTCATCCAGTTAGATGTGTAATCCACGAATCTCGGATTCTGCCATCTTGACTTTTTCCTCGAGACCGTCCACGACATAGCACAACCTAGTAGTTGTCTCATCAAGCGTATCAACGCGCTGTTTAGTAGTACTCTTCTTTTGAGGCTCTCCTACCTCAGTGGTGTGGGATGTAACTGGATCCATTGCTTTCTTATCGAGGGTCGTGAGCCGTAGCTCTGATACCAATTTTCACGGGGTGCCTTTCTTCTTGGCACGGAAAGGGACACTGTGCGGCTTTTATCTGCTCTGCTAGACTACCTTCTGCCTTTTCTCGATCACGTCAGGATGAAAGAAAATTTGATTACAATTTTGTATAAAGTTTACAATAGAATATTTGAATACATTGAAAGTAAAGTGAACATTGATTGATGAAAACTGAACATTACAATTGATGAAAGCAGAAAATTACAATTGCTGGTGCAGGGGGCAGACACCGGTGAGTTTGAAAGATTTTTGAATGACTAATACCCCCCATAATAACATTCGGAAGAAAAACCTAAGTGACAGGAGTAGACATTTAAAAGACGAGGAATCGTAATAAACATTTACTAATATCAGAGTTATTTTACAATTGAAATAACTATTACAATGAAAAGAAAATTTTAACTCAAACTTGAACTAATATTTACAATGTGCGGCCGAAGTTAAACAAACTGCGGCTGCGATAGTGTCTAGGGACTAAGTAAAGCAGTGGTCCTTCACACTAGGTCTTGGAGTTCAAGTCCAAATGCTTTCAGGCCAGTAGCTTTCCTTTTCGCTAGGAAAAATACCAGCCAAGCCAGGGGGGAGTGCTTGGTCGCTGGGGTTTCCTTTTCCTCAACCAATTCGGTTGTGTCAGCCTTGGTCTACCGGCTTTGTTCTGAGTTCATTGTATCCCTCCGTGTTCAGGGCTAAGGAAACTATCATGAAAAGTCTTGGTTGCCTTCTTTTTTGCAGAATTGCTTGCTCAATTTTTCTTTTGTTGACAGCTCACGGTGTCCCTTTTAGAGTTGGAATGTTGGGCTGTGTCACAAGCTGACTCATTTCCACGCAAAACAACGAAGGTACAGTGGCCAATTTCTGTCTGCTTATTACAGAAATATTGTACCTTTTTGATTCCCAAAGTTTTCTTAGAAAGAGTAAGTTACAAACTGAACCAAGAAAAATCACCTTTCAAGTTTACCATTCAAGTGTAATTTGATTTGGGTATAAGAAAGAAGATAGAAATCACATCACTGTCCTTTTTCTTGTTGTTTTATAAAGTCTCAATACATGTGAGGAGGAGCCCATATCTAACTCCAATTTGGTAAAAGATATCATTCTGGTACACCAGATAGAGAGAAGGCAGGTTGGGAAGTTCTAAAATCTGACAAAGTTTATTATAGACTTTAAACTTACCGCAACCCTCTTTACCAAGATGGGTATTCAAAACCAGTCATAAGACAGCGATCTTTCACCTTCAAGGGTAAAAATTTCACATCTTGGCAAAGTAAATTATAAGCAATATTTCATTCTAAAACAGAGTGCAAAAATTGGAAATTTTTTCTACTGGCTAATCTGGGAGGTGGAGAAATGGCCAACCATGTGACACCAACTTGTTTATCATGTACAAATCAGTATCCCTTTTGCATCTCCATGCCTAAAAATCTGACTTCTCTGACCAATTTCAGAAGATAAAAAGTAGAGATAAAAATATTCTTTTGCCGCACAAGAATTCCATGAAATATATCAAAAGGGGCAGGCAAGTGCAAGTTTGCTAGCAGAGGTTTAATCACTGTAGAAATTACTAACAAATTATTAGATAATAATAATAAAGTTTGTATAGTTAGGTATGTGATTATGAGGTGGTTAGTGTGACATAAACCTAACACTTTCTTGAAACATAGCCCAATAAAAAATTTCAAATTATAAGTATTATTCTTTCAACTTTTGCTATATAAGTATGCTTAGCATGCTCCTTGGAATTCCCCTTCTTCCCTCCGCAGCTTATTGATACAAAAAATAAAGAATTTATCAAGAGTTCCCCTTTATGGTTATTGGCCTGCATGTGCTCTGCAATCACAGAGTTTTCTTTATTGCATAATAATTTACACTGTTCCTTTTTTTCCCATATAAATGAAGTTGATTCACTTCAATAGGCCTCCCTCCCTCTTTTGAAACGTTTTCTTAGTAGCACTAATTTTGATTTTGTAAGTGATTTGAAGCTGCACTATGGGTGAAGAAGTAAAACAGGTTAGTGATTCATTGCTTTTGACTTCTGTTGATTCAAATAAATTATACACACACTCGAATTTACTGAATGAAAATGAGTTTTCGCAGGAACAAATTAAGGAGGAATCTAAGCCTGAGGAGAAGAAAGAAGAGAAGGCAGAGGAAAAGAAAGAAGTAAAGGCGGAAGAGAAGAAAGAAGAGAAGGCAGAGGAGAAGAAAGAAGAACCTAAACCACCATCCCCATTTGTCTTGTTTGTGGATTTGCACTGTGTGGGATGTGCAAAGAAGATTGAAAGGACACTTCTTAGGATAAGAGGTCACTCTCTCGACTGAAAATTTACGTGTAAAATGAGCCTTATTTGTAACATATATATTATTGATCTTTGCAGGAGTTGAAGGAGTTGCAATCGACATGGCTCAAAACCAAGTGACTATAAAGGGAGTTGTGGAGCCTCAAGCAGTATGCAACAGACTCATCAAGAAAACCAAGAGAACAGCTAAAGTCTTATCGCCATTACCGGAAACTGAGGGTGAACCTCTACCAGAAGTTGTTGCCTCACAGGTAGAAAAAATCTGACATTTGTTTTTTTTTTCAAATTCAAATTATAATCCCAAATCTTTTTTGAAAAATGTTTTCGATTGACATCCAGGTTAGTGGATTGGCTTCTTTGGAACTTAATGTGAACATGCACTGTGAGGCCTGTGCTGAGCAGCTTAAGAAAAAGATACTCAAAATGAAAGGTAATACTTGGTATACATGCTAAACATGACTTGCCATGGTAATAACTCTGTTATTTCTATTAAAACTTGAGTTTCATTTTAAATGGTCAACCTTATTGAAATGAGTAGCCAAACCTTTATATGTTGGTCTATATTTTCATTTGTATTCAATGTCGGATTTATCCCTTGACATCGCGAGATGGCGCAGACCAATCTAGATGTTTGTGTGCTTATTTTTGAGTTTAATCGGATCGAACTGCTCTTTGGAGCTTAATGAGCATTGATACCATATTAAAACTTATATTCTATCTTAAAAGGTCAATTTTATTAAGAAGAGTAGCCCAAATCTTATATGTTTGTCTATATTTTAATCTTTATTCGATGCGGGATTTAACCCTTAACAGTTCCTATTAAAATCTCTCTTGGTGTTTACGGTTTCGTTATAGCATCTGGATTGTGTACTATAGGTGTGAGGACAGTTGAAACCGAATTAAGCTCTGGGAAAGTGATAGTAACAGGCACCGTGGATGCAGACAAGCTCGTTGATTACGTCTATAGATGCACAAGAAAGCAGGCCAAAATTGTCCCCCAGCCGGAACCTGAGAAGCCCGCCGCAGAAGAATCAAAGCCTGAAAACAAAAAAGAAGAAAAACCAGCTGAAGAAGCAAAACCCGAAGAGAAACCACCGGAAGAGGGAACGAAAGAAGGCAAGGAGGAGCAAGGTGGTGAAAACAAAGAGGAAGCCAAGAAAGGAGAGGAGATCGTTAGTGATGAAATGTCCATGCAGAAAATGATGCATTATTATCAGCCTCTTTATTACATTGAAAGAATTCCCCCACCTCAGCTCTTTTCTGATGAAAATCCAAATGCTTGTTGCATTGCATAATCACTAAAAATCACAGATTATTTTTTCTTTTCTTGTGATTTTTGACATATCTAAGTCATTATCGAATGCAAGGTTCAGTTTCTCAATTATATTCGACTGAATGATGGTATAATAATCATTCTGTAATTCCTGTTTCATATTTTATACATATGATTGAAGAGCTTAATAAAAATCTTCTTCTATTCTATATTCATATTTTATTCTATATGTGGCATGTATTATTATTATGGAGATCAAACATAGGACATACTCTAGCGAAAGATGCAAAAAACAAACTTTCCCCGTCTAGAGAGGCAGTATAAAGAAATATACTTCATTTCCCTAGTCATGCTTGTCATATGCCAGAGTGTAGTTTTTCCCTGTCTCTTGGTTAAATTCGAACAGGCTACTTCTGGTTTGGTTCAGCTAAAAAATTGTATTAAA